ATCAGATGTGGATACTAAAAAATTCCAAAGATCTTTTAGAGTACATACAATCTAAGACTCTCTCATCTTGCAATAGTATTAAAACATTTGACTTTTCTACACTTTACACAAGTATTCCCCATTCCAAACTAAAAGACAAATTGAAAGAGTTGGTATTACTTTGTTTCATTAAAAATAATGGCGAACGTAGATACAAGTATCTTGTCTTGGGGAGGGATAAATCTTACTTTGTAAAGAATCACTCTGATTCAAACAAAAAATTCTCTGAAACTGACATTATCAAGATGCTTGATTTCTTGATTGACAACATATTTGTTAAGTTTGGAGGACGTGTTTTTCAACAGACTGTCGGAATTCCAATGGGAACCAATTGTGCCCCTCTTCTTGCCGACTTTTTTCTTTATTATTATGAGGCTGACTTCATACAGGAACTTCTTAGGAAGAAAGATAAGAAGTAAACAATATCCTTTAACTCTACGTTCCGCTATATAGATGATGTTCTCTCACTAAATAATACAAAATTTGGTGACTATGTGAACGAATCTATCCCATCGAACTAGAGATAAAGGATACTACAGATACAGTTAAGTCTGCCTCATATCTTGACTTACATCTAGAAATTGACAATGAGGGTCGGTTGAAAACAAAACTTTACGACAAAAGAGATGATTTCAGCTTCCCAATTGTGAACTTTCCATTCCTATGTAGCAACATTCCAGCAGCGCCTGCATACGGAGTATATATCTCCCAATTGATACGATATTCCCGGGCTTATGTTTCCTATCATGATTTCCTTGATAGAGGATTGCTGCTCACAAGGAAGCTATTAAACCAATAGTTCCAAATGGTGAAGTTGAAGTCATCCCTTCGTAAATTTTACGGACGCCATCACGAGTTGGTTGACCGTTATGGAATAACCGTTTCACAGATGATGTCGGATATGTTCCTTATGTCGTAACTACAATACCCTCCCTTTTCACGAATGTGACTTACCGAATTAGACTATTTACCGGATTTGTAATAACATAAGCAACACGACGGGTGCCACATGTGGAGCAGGATCTGTTTACCCTTCCGGAACACCTGAGATCACCCCAAGTTTTTGGTGGGGTTCGAGTTGCTATGTCTTTGGTTTTCTATGTTGTGTCATCTGTACTATTATTTGTCTGTTTGTCTTTTTGTTTTTGGCCATGGCGTTGTCAGTTTGTTTTTTCGATCTATGAATTTGACTGTCCCTCTGGTATCTTTCGTCCCTCTTTTGTAATATTTTAATTATGAATGTAATTGATATGTGTTCCGTGTTATTACTTTTGAAGATCTAGATAGTAAATTTGAATTTTTCAGTACTTCACATACAATTAATGTATGAAAGTTATACATTTTAAAATACACATTGATCAAATTTCAATTATAGGTAGAGAAAATGAATAATGAAAATTCAAATGTATAAATTTTTCTCACAAAAACTGTTTTACATAGAATCTCTAATATCGAATGTTTTGTTGTGTTCTTTAATACCATATATGTTCTTATCGTGCACACTTAGATATCTCTTTATGATCATGCACACTTGTTTTAGGATTAATATATTTTATAAAACATAATATGATTTGTTATTTTTTTATCATTTAGTGGGTTTGCTGTTTAAGGTCTTTGTTTAAAGTAGATTTAAAATTTTTGAAGTCGCTATTAAAGATGATCAGTGTGATGTTGAAAATCACGATCTTAATTACATAGTGTGTCCTTCACTATCATTTTTTGTTCGCTTGGCAATATATATAACAGCTTTGGAATAAATATTGATCAGGTCTTCGGTTTTCACTTTGAATTGTTTCACATTTGATCATGCCGGCGCGTTTAGTAGCTTACTGTTTGGTATTGGACGTGATATTAGAATTGTACATCATCCATTCTATTGAGTTCAGAGAATTGCATTGGTTGTGCAATATAATATGGTCACAGTATACATCAAATACATTTGTACAAACGTTTTAGTTATTGACGTTTACCGATGTAAGACGTTATCTGTTAAATACTCAAAGTTAGAAATATCTACTCATTTGTTTCCCAAGTATCATATAGTAGGTTAGAAATACATAATACACAGTTCATTAGTGACCTAATATGGTAAAAATTGAAACAAAATGTCCAACATAATCTGTTGTCCACTTTCCAATATTAACGAAATGACACTGATGACCTTTCATTAACCCTTTAATATGAACAAAATGTCATTGATGACCCGTCTGTAACCTTTCAATATGAACAAAATGGGACATATGTATAGAATGCCACAGCTGTGTTAAGTAGTACATTGACATTACTGAATGTGGTTCTACTATAACTTGATGATATTTTGTATTTATATAGCATGGTTTTGATTCCAATGAGTTTGAATGAGTTTGAAACTTATGAGTTTGAATGTCCCTTTGGTATCTTTCGCCTCTCTTTGACATTACTTGATATGGTTTTGTAATGACTTGATATATATAATCATGTAAACATTTCATTTGTTTATGAGACATGTTGGAATGAATTATTTGAATATTTCGAAAATTTAAAAAAAAAGTATGTACCATGTAGGACTAGATATCACATTTGTAGGGAGCAGGGTTAAAGGAACGAAGGGTTGTTTAAATAGTGGATTTTAAATATCAGAATGGTCTAAATATAGTATACATTATATCAATGTTGGCCTGGATTTCCGTGCACATTTCACAAAAAAAAAATCTTATTCTGAAGTGTTTTCAAATTTTTCATTACTGATAAACATATCATATGTTATATAATAAGAAAAATGTTGCTTTAGTGTGTATGTGCAATGAAAAATAATTTCCTAGTCACACTTTTGTTCTAGGTTGCCTGCAAATGTGTTTATGTTTCGTTCGTACTTTGGTCTCATAACCAAGGAAATATTTCCCTTTAGTTATAATGACAGGATTGTCAAGACATTTTTTTATCAACATATGCTCTATGGCATAACAAATCATTAACAAGAATTTTAAACAGAACCTAAGGTGTGTATAGTATGAAGCTCAATGCTCATTGAAATGGCCTCTTCTTAGCATTTGTGTTATCAGCAATCGAAACTGTGAAACTAAAATCTCTAGGAGCGGTGTGCATCACATGTTGGTGCTAAACAGTTTCAAAGACCTGTTATGGTATATTCAATCTTAGTCTCTGTCGTCATGCAATGGTATACAAACAATTAACTTTTCTAACCTTGACACTAGTATTCCTTACCCTAAACATTGCTTCAATTTTTTATTCAAATCTGCGGGGGTTTTTTTATTAAAAGATAATCGGGTTTCCAGTGGAAATCATGTGTGTTCCTCTTTTTGACTTGTTACTTTTTTTCACACAAAGCAGACTTCTTACAGAAGCTTCTCTTTAGAAGAATGATACAGGCTAGCGTTTTCCTCAATTTCATATTTTTCTATACACATGATGTCCTCTCACAAAATGATTCAAAGCTTGCTTAACGCATTTATCACCAGTAAACCAACACTGATCTAAAACGGTCATTTTGATCTGAACAGCTCTTAAAAGACTAAACAATAGATAAATAAAGAATTTTACGTCTGTCAGTTAAGTTTCAGACTTATCCATTGTTGTAAGTTCAGTACTTTTCAGACGATTCGCTGGCATTAAATTAAAATCTGTTCAGTCTATGTTCAGACTGTTCAGTAGTTACTGTTTACCTGTACACTTCAACATCACACTGAATGTTGTTCTGAACTGCTACTGAACAGTTATGAAAATACTGCTAGTGATTTGTCTGAGCAGTACTGAATTTACCGCATTGAATACGTCTGAACATTGAATTGAAGACTGAAATGACAGTATAATTTAGAATTAATACTTTTCAGAGGATGTTACGATCAAAATAACCGTTTCAGACAACAATTCATTTCCTAGTGTATTCGATCGAACGTGAAATAAAGGATAGCAATAATACAGTCTGCCTTAGATCCTGCCTAACATATTAACGGCAAAAGAGATTATGTCAGCTTTCCTATTGGGAACTTTCCAAGTCTTTGTAGCAACATTCTGCGGCGTCTGGGTGTGGAGTGTATATGATAGTCCAGAACATACATAACATACATTTCCTGTAATGATTTTTTTTTTTGATAGAGGGTTGCTGCACTAGTAAAGAGACTTTAGTCCCAAGTGGCTTTTTTATCTTTATATCATCTGAAATGTCTAAAACCAAAGACGTTAAGAGTATAAGTTTTTTTTTCGGATATTTTCTTGTTAGTAAATTCAGATCTGTTCAGACAGATATCAAGTCAATCCAATATTGCCCAGTAGCCTTAAATTCAGTATGGGTATTTTTGGCAAAGGGAGGTAACGAATACGGATGAGTCTGTAAAAAGGCTGAAAGATCTTGATTTCCTTCCTGCAAATTGTAATTGAAAAGGACTGAACGTGACTAAATAATGTATTTTTCAGTCTTAAAAGAGCTGTTCATATTAAAATGGCCGTGTCAGTCAAAAATTGGTTTACTAAACAGCTTACAATAAAGATAATGAACCAAGAATACCAAATGGTAGAGTTGAAAGCATTGAAAGTTTTATTGATTAAAACATGATTTGGTTGGCCGTTGTGAAAGATTTCTATCACAGATGACAATAATATGTCCTTATTGTCGTAACCACAATCCTACCTTTCGATAATAATATCACTGAATGAGACTTATCACATAATTTGTATTTGCTCTCAGATATAAAAACAAAGATTGTGTATGATTGTAACATGTGTAAATAAAACAACTATCTTTCAAAGACCGAATAACTAAGATATACTAGTTTCGCAATACACTTTTTGCCATTATATAAATAAAAAACATGATTATAAATATAATTTTTGAGTAGTATATTATAAAACATTTGTATAATGCTATAGTTAAATTGTTGATTGATTATTTAATCTAAATGAATATTTCCTTCTGAAATGTTTGATAAAAAAAAATAAGTTCAATCAAGAGAAAACGGAATGAATAAACTTTGTAAAAATCTTTAATTTCAGTATTGTGGTAATACATGTAATGGTGTAAATGCATTTGTATATGCATCTTGTACTGAATCGCTCCAATTGAACTCATAATTATTAGTTTGAAAGTTAACTTAAAAAACAGTTTTATTATATCTGATTCATTTTTAATGTTTGATGGACGTATACATTTGTATAATTATTTTGACAGCAGATGTTTAGACAAAGCAACGTTTATGGTGTCATTTAACATGTTTAAGTATTAGTTTCCAGGTTTAAGGATGTTCGCTACTCTTTTTCTAAATAACAAGACTTTTAAAAGACTGTTATAAATGATAGAATATATATAAGGGAATTAGAAAAGCAGAAAAAATGAAGGATCCGTCAGCTTGTTTTCGAGATATAAGCCATTGAAAATTTGGCGGGAAATGATTCTCTCTATATTTTTCATACATTTAACATTGGCACAATTCTTCTTTCAAAAACAAAGATAAAATAAGAAGAATTTGATAAGATTTTCAAATATGGCTTTTTAAACTATATGAAATAAAATTATGAAAAGAAAAGTAGGGGCTAGGGGGCAAAAGTGTTAATGGCACTACATCGATAAAACCAAAGGATTCATAACATCTGGCAAAAAATTCAAAAACAAGAAAAGAGAACTTCCTTAACTTAGGCTTCTTATAACACAAAGAGTAGCGGGTTATTTAAAAGTGTGCACCACATTTTTCATGTTATTTCGAATAGACAGAAAAATTATTTACAGTCATTTCTTATAATTTAATTCTAAAAAGGAGTAAATCATGATAAAAACGTTGATGACGTCGAGGTCACATGGCAAAATTGCGTCTATGAGCTGATAAACAAAACACTTTCAGCCAAGCCGAAGACGTGTTATATCCATCAAAAATCTGGCGGGAAATGATGCTCTCCAGATTTTTCATACATTTAACATGAACAAAATTAAACTTTATAAATATACATCTTAGCGAAGAACTTTAATGTGTAATACTATAAAAAGTAAAATCACAAAAATACTGAACTCCGTGGAAAATTCAGTCGAAAAGTCCCTAATCACATGGCAAAATCAAATGACAAAACACATCAAACGAATGGACAATAACTGTCATATTCCTGACTTGGTACAGGTATTTTCAAATGTAGAAAATGGTGGATTGAACCTGGTTTTATAGCGCTAAACCTCTCACTTGTACGACAGTCTCATCAAATTCCGTTATATTTACAACGATGCGTGAACAAAACAGACATAATAAATAAAATAGTCAAAATATGGGTACAGCAGTCATCACTGTGTTACAATATCAAAACAAACAATCATTTACAAAAAAGCAACAAAAGCATCTATCAACTTAAAAACCACATTCATTGCTTTGCGTGTCTGACGTCAGAAAATGTAAACGTCACATAAGAAGAAATTTTGTCGTTCAATGTTTATTCAAAACAATTTTTATGATTTCACATATGAACATTGCATATTTTGTACAAATTTGGGAATATTTATATAAGAACAATATCTTTTGCATGGCCATTTATGTAATAGTTGACTAGCATACATTAATTTTTGAATATAATTTGGAAATAACGTGGTTGTCACGTTTTGCTAATCGTTTAAATTCTATTTGCCGTAAACATTTTTCCTGTAAAATAAAGTGATAATATGGCTTATTGTACCTTTCAGTCGATAGCACTTTGACATTGCGTTATCCAATCGTGGTCAAATCAGCTTGACACTAAGTGCACATGTTCATGATGATGTGAATGTTTAGCAAAATATATGCCAAATTTCAATTTTTACCCAGAATTATTAGTTGACTGATCATGGTAATATGATAATACGTGACAGGTTATAATTGCTGGTTAAGAAAGTTTACCAGCAAGTTGTAGAAATTAAGTACATTTTCGATGCAAACGTTTTACAGAATATGCCGAATCACGATCATGCGGTTAAAGGATAACAGAAAATGCGATCGAAGTTGTTGTCCACTCAAACTGTAGGATGTGGTTTGATTGATAATCTGGGGAAATATGACTTGTTCATTATTTTTAAGATGCTTTAAACCTGATTTCAGTAACCACGACTACTCTTAGTTCAATTATTTGTGTTACTGTTGGTTTTTTGTTTGTTGTGGTTTGTGTTTCACGACAATCTGATAATCCAAGTCTTGTCCCAGTGATTTTAATATTTGGGTCTTAATTGGTGTTGTTGGCTATTTTCCTAGGGTAGGGGATGTGTTCAGTGCTCTCAAACATGATTACCTCTGGCATATTCTGTATGTTCTTAATCAGTGCAGTCTGTAATTCATTAGTTGTCGTTAGATAAAGTCTGCAGTATTTGTTTCCCATTTATTCGTTTGATTAACCGACCATGTCCTATTTGCTACTTCACATTTTGACTGAGTTTGGATTCGCTTATGTTTGTTGCATGTGTAGTTGAAGACGCTGAAAAAGCGGATATTTGTTTAGTGAAAATTGCTAGTAAAAATTGTTGATTTTTATAAAAAGGTTAATGAATGTATCTCCCTCAAGCAAAGCTCTGGTACAATAATATTGGTACCATGTATCTTATTACCTTGCTCCTTTTGGGATTAATGTATCGTTCTGAATTATCGTCCTTTGCTATCTGGAGGATAGTTGTCTCATTGACGATCATATCACATCACCTTTAATTTATATGTAAAAAAAATGAATAATATAAAATCTAATTAAAGATACATTTTTCTTTACTGACATTCGGTTTATTGACCTCTGAACATAGATTACCTAGATAAAACCATCGCTTAGGTCTTGCTGTTTTCAAACTTTTATCGTCAAAGAATGTTTGAATTCGTATTCTTGGCTGAAAAAATAATTTTGCTGAATACATTGCATACAAGATTTGCTGATCAGAGTTCATCAATTTCATTTTAAGTAAACTTTCTACGGCCATTTTATAATCCTCTATGAACAATGAAAGATATTCTGGTCTTCCAATGAAAAGACCACCAGCTATATAATATTTAGTTCTATACATAATTTCCTTAAGAGTTAAGTTTGGGTTGAAAAAAGCTACTTGCGAAAATGAAATATGATCATCTTTCATACTTTTTGGCGGTTTCATTTGAAAGCAGTCAGGTCTCATTCTTCTAAGATAGCCTATATCAATCCATGCAAGATATTTTGTCGTAAATATTTGTTCTTGTATTACTCTTCCGGTCAATTCATACTTAGCATGCATTGCAGATGAATAAGCAGGTCGACCCGGAATTGGGTATCCTTTTTGGTTGTAAATCTTTTTGATTCGTGGTTGCAAACCAAAAGCCCAAAGACTTGTTTGATTCAGAATGAATACCTTAGTCATATGGATTGGGAAATGTCTGCGATATAATTTGAACTGCACTGATAAATCAAGTTGATCCGTATAAAGAATAACACAGTTGTTTACTGACTGAAAGCCTTTCATCCAATTGTAATATGTGCTTTTAGAAAAAATTAAATTCGGAGTTTTTTTAAATGACCCTATGTTAAAATAAGCTGTAACTAATGTTAATTCGTTTCCGTTGACGCTGTGTACTTGATTTGCATGACCCGACAATTGAATTACCATTTTGGGCTTGACATCTGAAATATATTAATGCTGCCATATTATATTTATACATGCACCATTTTCGCCAATGTGGCTTTGTTTGTGTAGTATACTGGTTGGACCTATTTTTATTACCAATTTTATGGTTGCTGGTAGCAAGAAAACCAAGAGTTCCAAGTGGTGAAGTTGAAGTCAACCCTTCAGAAATTACGAGGATGCCGTTACGATTTGGTTGACCGTTATCGAATATTTATTTCAAAGATGCCGTTGGATATGTTCCAATTGTTGCATCAATAATTCTGGCTTCTTTTTTGCATATGTGATATCACCGAATATACTAGTCAATGCCTGTGTACGTATATGAGCTTTACGAAGGGTTCCACGTGTGGAGCAGAATCTGCTTACCCTTATAGACCTGAGATTACTCTTATATCTATTGGGATTTATGATGCTCTGTCTTTAGTTTTCAAAGTTGTGTTTCGTAAACTGTGTTGTTTGTCTTTTGGTCGTTTTCGTATTTTCCATGGCGTTTTCAATTCGTCTTCGACTTATGAGTACACGAGGTAAATAGTGACCTGCTAAAATGATTTGCACTGGTGCATCGGTTACCTCTGTTAGAAATAATTTAAGATGACCTAAATTGTTTAAAAGGTTGTCTCTAAAGAATGCCGTTTTAAGAAGTGACTCATGATTGGAATTGTGTATTGTGTAACGGTAAATTGTGTATCATGCGGTTGAATATCAGTGAAAAGTTGAACACCTCCGTTAAATTTTTTTTATTAAAAATAAACATTGTTGGTAATCACAGTCGTTTTGACAAATACATTTGAATGATTTGAATCATGTTTTATTCAATTAGTAAAAGGTATATTGTGTATTTTGCAACGGGGAATTCATGCTAGTGTATAGAATATGGATAAAAGGGGACAAGTATAAGTTGGAAAATTGCACGACTGGGGGAGTGTTGGATACCAGAATATTCTTCTGATATGTAAATTAACAGATTTCATTTCGTTATATTTTCAATTAGTCTGGAAACAGAGAACGCTTATCTTATAAACTCGACCAGGCGAATACAATTTCCTCGTTACCTCTTAAAATGGTATATCGCCAAGACGTCATGTTGAACCAATCTATTTATTATTTCTATTTGGGATAGGATTAGTGCACATGGATTTGTAGTGACATTTTACCGTATTATTCAACTTTTTTTTTAAAGTTTAACTTATTTACTAATGTGCCATCGTTTTTGCACATGCAGTTGAATATCAAAGTGGGGTGACAAGACTTTATTGCTTTAATGGAACAAAATATCTTCATCAATGTTTTAAATAATATATCAGGTTTTTTTCCCCCGGTTGTAGACTACAAAATAAAGTGCCACAACCTTTGAATTTGAGGTTTAAGGTCAATAGCTCAATTTAAAATGTTTTTGGTAATTTTAATGATTAAGTATTGAAAATAGATGAGATAGTATAAACCGTGTATGAAATGCATTTTACTGGAAATAAGTTGCATATGCATATTTAATTTTGTTTTAACTAGTCTTTGAAACTAGAATCTTTCATTCTAAAAGAAGTTGTGTGTTTCTAAATAAACATTATTACCGATGAAATTAGTTCACAGCCAACAGAGGGCATATTGAACAGATAATAAGTAAAATATAAGTTAAACATTCCAACAAGGTAACACGTCATCATATTTTATCAACTTGTGATTGTATATGATTTTAATATCGGAACCAAACCCGATAATCCGAAAATTAGTGCCATTTTTTGAATGATTATACAAATGTGCATACATTAAGCGGGTTTTTTGGCAATCATACTACATCTTCTTATTTTAAAATTTACAACCGAAAACCAGATACAAAATAATTTCAAAATAGCCAATTGTAATGACACAAAGCAGGCTTTCCTATAGAAAGGGGCGATTAAAAATGCGTTCAAGGATTTGTTTACTCCCGAGAGAGAATGACACCCCAGTTCATCTTTAATGTAACGAAAATGTCCAAAAATTAAAGTAAAGAAAGAATATAAACATGTGTCCTACTGAAAAAACTAACATATACTTTAGCTTGCATTCTGGAAAAATAATGATTGCATGTCAGAAAAATGGTCTGTACAATTTTTATCAATTTGTATGTGACTGGGGTATCCTTTATCACAAATAAGGGTACGATTTGCTTAGGTAATTGTTAACGATAAATATGTGACTCCATTTGACGCAAAAAGACAACTGAAATGCGATGTCCAAAATCACAATAAAAATATAATTGTAAAGAAAGAAGTGCATTTCATAGCAAATGAAAAACCATCCTCACCATCCTGGCTGTCAAACTATTTCACGAACTCGATACATTTGCGAAAGGTGAACATCTTGTTTATGCTTTGATATATAATAAGTGTGTTTAGTCTGGAATAAAATGGTTTATTGAATATATTAGTTGAAATTAGGCTTTTGAGTCGCATTCGGTTATTCCGAAAATTTTAAGATTAGTACTGTGTGTCTTTTAATTTTGTGTCCTTTGGTTTTTTTTTGTGATTTGAGCCAATTTGATTAGTCTATGTCCTTAAAATTGATTTGACAGTTTATGTTGTTACACCGCTGACCATATTAAGGAAAGGGTTAAGCTCTCCCGAATATAATAAACCCCTCACCATTTATAATTTATCTGTCCAGAGCCAGGATAAAATATTTCAATATATTTCGTTGGGCGCTGTCTATATACAAATAAGGAAATTTGATATGATTACCAATGAGACAACTAACCACCAAAGTTCAAATAAAGTGGATGTAAGCCATTGTAGGCAATCGTACGACCTTCAACAATGAGAAAAATCCATACCAAATAGTCTGATATAAAAGGCCTCGACATATAAAATAATTGAGAAACCTAACGGCCTAATTCATATCAAAACAAGTACGAATAACCAGTATGACAGACATGACCCAACGATAACATTGAAAATATAGGCATCTGACTTGGGACAGGCATATACAGAATGTGGCGGGGTTAAAAATGTTTTATGGCGCCGAACCGTCCCCTAACCTGAGACAGTGGTGTTACAATACAACATAAGAACAAACTATAAAATCAGTTGAAAAGTGCTTAACTCATCAGATCGATACAAAGTAGAATAAAACATCCAACAAAACCTCAGACCAGATGAGAGAGAATGTATACATCCCTCCTAACAAAAAAAGATGCAATTTACAGACCTAAGAGTACTCCCAGCTACTGACAGCCTGTTCAATTACAACTAATAAAACAATCCTGTATATAAGACTGAAATATCAATCAGTACACATCTAAAATTCAATGGAGTTCGTGTAAAGATGTCATTAACTGTCAAACCTTGTGCAATGCCAAAGTATAGGTATCTACAGATCGTAGAACCGTGAATATGCATATGTATAACAATAATATTTAGTAAAGTTGTTTACTCTTTCTGTTGTAGGTTTTATCAAAATTTTATTTTTCCCTTTGCAATATTTCTCCATTTTGTGATTTTTTTATATATCCTTTCACAGTATTTGTTTTGATCATGATTAATAAGCGTACGATGACTTATAAGTTTGCACATCGGTTTGCCCTGTGGTCTGATGGATAGACTTATCCTTGTCAATCGCACCACATCTCCTAATTTTTCTTGTATCGGTGTGTCTTAGATAAATAAAGCATGATTTGGACAAATATCATCTTTCTCCTTTACTCAAAGTACATACCTTGGAATATGTTGATGTTGATTATGTAAATACCCAGTAACAAATTACAAATTACTGATAGAATAAAATAAGTCTTTGTATAGCATAGCTTCCACCTCTGAAATATAAGTAAGAAAATGTTAGCTTTTAAGTTTTTAAAGATATTAAGGAATTTCATCATTTTGTTGCATGTTTAGTATATATGTATAAATACATTCATTTCAATAATTCATTTAATTAAATATATTTAAATGTCAACTGTCAAAAGTACTTGTCATGACCGTGTTTACATTATATATTCATTTTGATAATCATACGTAAGGTTGCAATGAACCATTATTCGCCAATCTTTCCAGATTTGAGTTTTGTAATTGTTTATTACCATCTTGTCAGGTATTTATCATGGTATATTACTCCTTAAAAAGGTTACGCAGGACGATATGTATTCGACCTTTTATTATTAAAATATTTTGATACTACAATAATATGGATGGGTAATTTCTCGGTGCAATTGTTTTAAAATGAAATATGCGCTTTGTTACCAAATTATCTCAGTTTACTTACTCTGTCAAAATCTGTAATCCTTCAAACGGTCATGTCTTAATGTGTAATTCAAATACAAACATTTACACATTGCGGTTATAGTCCAGCGGACATACGAATAATTGATTACTTTATGGGAAAAGCATGAAACTTGGCAAAGTGAAAGATTAAGAGATATAAACAAAATTCAGATATGGAGCCACGAACAAAATCCAATATGGCCGCCAAATTAAAGATGGTTGACATAATGTACTGGTAATACAACACCATACCCTTGACGACGTCTACCTATATGTAACATATTTACCTGACGAAATCGGGATATGGGTATTTAGTCAAATCTTAACAGGAAGTTGTGATAATATTAAAAATCCGACACGGATAAAAAAAAACAATGTCAAAATGTTCAGGCTTTAATTAAATCTGTTTTTGGGTAAATTGATGTAAGCATACGAACTGTATTGTGTCTTATACTGTAAAAGCCAAATAATGTTTAACGACCATATTATATTAATGTGTTAACACGATAATTATGAGCTATGACCGTCAAGTAAGTTTAAAAAATATTCAAACAAATATACTTTACTGTGGGTTAGCATTCGTTAGCAGTCACTATCATATAGATTAACAACTGTTGGTTATATTGATAATTAAGAATCCTCATTGAAGTTGGAACACGAATAGTGTGTTAATTAATTCGTTTGATGTGTCATTTGTATGCAAGAGTGACATCCCTTTGTACTATGGTTCAATTCCAAAAAGTCTATCGAATCAATGCGTTTATTGTCTCCCTTGAATAGGTTCATTATTCAATCTTTACGTTTAGTTATTTGATTTAATTTTAAATCATTACAAAATTTATAAATTTAATAGATCTTATTATTTATTATTGGTTTATTAAAGATATTTATGTATATCTATAATTCTATTTATTTGTATTGAAATGTTTAAAATTATTATGTACCAATATAAAGAACCTTTCATAATTCTATAAATATTATTTAGTTACATAGTAAGTTACTTTGTTTGATGAAGCAATCTACTTTTGAGAGTACAGATAGTGAACCTTCCTCAAACTAATCCTGGAATTGTTTACTTTTAAAGCCGTATTATAGTAAGACATTATATAAATAGTAATCTCTCTACTTTTTATGTGAGGTAAATTATTCGGGTGAATAACACATGTTTCATTCTGCTGTCAAGAATACACGGTTTTAAGTTGTTGTCCGCATTATCAAACCTCCAAAAGCATTAATCCTGCTACTTGTAAAAGCATTTGTTGTTTAAATATGGTGTATAAAATTATGTCAGAATTCAAATAAAGCAGACATATTGTCTCTAATTTATCTGCATAACTTGATTCCCGAAAGACAAATACATGTATGATGTGTACCGAATTATATTATCTCCCCATAATGATAAAATGTTGGGAAAATTAACCAGAGTTATCTTACATTTATCACAAAAGAGGGGCAAACAATTTTTAACTAGACCTTAATTAACGTTAAAACAATTGTCCACTAAAAATGGATGTCACTTTATTCGATTATAAGGACTTAGATAGCCAAATCCACTACTTTTATTACGTCTTTCCACTTTTCCGTGGAAAGACCTATTGGTTTTCTTCTGATTATTATTTTTTTTTTCTTCCGCCTAATTTGTTTCCTTCGCTGTTTTTCTTCTTTTTTTTTTTTTTTTTGTTTCGCAAGATGTCGCTAAGATATTTAGAAAATGATATCGAACAGTGTATACGCTTTTGAAACTGACAATGCTTAACCAAATATTTTCCCATATAAGAGTTATCTCCCCAAACACTGTTTTTCTTGTTATTTCTAAGGCTTCGCAACAGTAAAAGAAACCGTCAATTTTTGTTTACCAAATTGCTCGTTATACCTTCAGGATGTTTCGTTTAATTTTGACCGAAGCTGTATAGAGATTCCATATGAGAGTTATTTCCCCTTTTGTATTTACATTTGTAACTGAAAAACCATAAGTGATAGAGGCCTAGGGTCTTTTGATTTGAGGTCCTAGGTCCATACAAATGAAAATGAGGTCAAGGTCATGTTCAAAATTTTAATTTTGGCTTGTTATCACTAATTTCAAAAATCTTAAAATTATCGACGAAATATTTTTACAGAATTGTTAGTTGCGACACATAAATTTTAGTTGAAAGGGTACGTAGACATTTAATGGGAGTTTACGCCCCTTTTACATCTAATATTAGTAGTATGGTAATATAACACATTAGCAATATATAGTAGAGGCCTAGAGTCCTTTGATTTGAGACCCTTGATTCATGACCTTAAATTTGGGGTCAAGATCAAAGTTTGGTTTGACGTTCTAGATTTTGACCTTTGCTTTAACTTTTAATTTATACATAATAAACTTATGGGACTTTGTACATTAAGTTGCAAGTCATATGACCTTGAAGAAATCAACTGGAAATGACCTTTTGTAATCCGGAAGTAGCTATTTTTTGTACTCATTTAAAGTAAAAGTGCATAGAACCATATATTTTTGGAATCAGTGTCAAGTAAACTATCAGATGAGACCGAATTTGACATTTTTCAAACCGGAAGAAACAACTTGTCTCCCTTATTTCAAACAAAAATGTGTAGAAACCATGTATTTATAAATTTAACGTACAATAAGCTATCATTTGGCATTGAAAATTACATTTCTAACCAAGTTCTAATATTTTTATCATCAAAATATATTGTATCAGGTGGTAAGACCTTCAATTGTTCTCTGAACAATTGGTTTTTAATTTGTTTTATGAATTTTTATTACAATAGATAAACATGCTACTATATGCAAGAGTTCAGTAGATATTACAAATTTAAGGAAATACATTCAGATATGCGAATGCTTATTTTTTCAACTTTCAAAATACATAGTTAATCAAAATGGCGTCCAAATTCAAAATGGCATCGTCGGAAATGTCCGAGTTTGACGGTATTGATACATTTACACTATCAATGTGGTATAGGAATTTAACAAATATGTGAAACTGATATTCTGATGTAGACACAGTCCTACAATTTTTGTTTAATAAACCAGGGGACATATATTTAGTTTTCAAAATGGCTGCAAAATTCAAAATGTCGCCGTCAAAATTGTCAAAATTTGACGGGTTTTAGTAATAATGTGGTATAGATTGATTCAAAAATAATGAAACATTTTGTTTAACACAAATGCAAAAGAGCATGTTATTTTAATTTAAGAGGTGACATAAACTATGAAATGAAAATTGCCACTATAATTCGAAATGGCATCTCTGACAAGTTATAAATTTACACAGTTATAGTTATTGTTTACATGCAGTCAGAAAAAATTTTGATTTACTAGCAATGAAAAATATGTATGCAACCCTACAAAGATACAAGCCAAGTATTTTTTTTTTTTTAATGGGAGCGAAAATAAAAATGGCGCCTCAAAAGTACCTTTTTGGCATAACAACTTTATAGAACACATTTAAGATTTTGATAATTAAACTAAGATCCAAATGCAGAATAATCAAAATTTAGCACAGTCTTAATCAGTTTCTCTCTCACAGTCCGGTTAGCAGTTACATAATTCTGTGCATTTCAATACTGTTTCAAGCATTTAAATGCCCCTCGACATCCTTTCTTACAGCCACAGTTGACGAGCTCTTAACATGACATTGCAGCTTATTCAAGCCCCGACCTGAATGGAACCCATGTACCATCAAATTTTTGCCAACCAAATAAATCTGGTGATGGCATAACAGGGTTTGCGACTAAACAATTAACCCAAATAACACTACCTTGGTAAGCTACACGTTCCGTATGTTAGGGTAATGCATCTGGTGCCGGAGGAATATAGTCATTTGATCTTTTCTTTTGTGTGATTAAATGTTTTCTTAATTCATTCACTGTATTAAATGAACTAGACCGAGCATACAGAAGAACAACATACAGATCTATAACTACTTTTAATATTTCTACTTCATTTGGATTTTCAATAAACTGTACAAATGTTCCTGACAATTCCTTATATACGGACCATGTGTCCCCAGCTGATTTCCTACCCTTCTAAGAAAGAGCTGATACTGTGTCACAACCGGTGACGGCATGGAACAGTAGTAAAACGTTCAATTTCAATGGTCTTAGAGCAAGGCATAATCCATTGAAATAATTCGGTAGTTCTTTCCAGTGCCAAAACCTATCAACAACTCTTCAACCTGCAGTCTATCAAAACAAGACACATACTAAAGATTTTCCATTTGGAATTTTAGAATTGATTTATCAATTTTCTGTTGTGAGCAGTAATACTGACTTACGTCATTATGCCTGGAGGCAATTCTTCACAAAGTAATAAAACTTGACAAAATCCCAAGAAAGGAAATCTACAAACTGATACTAATCAAACACTACTGTCAGCCAGAAAGGATTTAGGTAAAACAAAAGCCAGAACAAAAGCTTTATTACCAAAGGGAACTCATTCAGAGTTGTCTGGTGAGTCAGATAATAGTATGGACACAAGTAGATTAAAAAGTCTTCGAAGGGACCTTGATGAAATTAAAACAAACCGTCAGGGATAACTAAAAAAAAT